TGTTGTTATTGTCACGATGATTTAACAGTTCCTATATTCAGCGCACTTCCGCTTCATCCATTTTCTCACTCCTCCAGGACATAGTTCTTTGAATTAAGACCCTTCCAAACAAACTGAACAAAGGCCGTCAAAAAAAGACCACATTGAAAGCCAAACAAAAATTCCAAAGGCTTTCCTATTCAAAAAAAAAGAAATTTCCTTTCCCCCAAAATCTGGCAATACGCCAGCTAAGACGTAATGGTTTACAATAAATTATTTCAATTTTTACGTCAAAGCATATAAAATCTTACACCTAAACAGTGAACGCCATTAATTAAGATCACATTTGTTAAAATTTGTATTTAATTTAATTAAAGACCAACACCTGACAGGAAATTAATTGAAGTACATGTATTCATCGCATATTTATAACTTAACATTTTTTTGGCCAGTTATGTAATTGTTTGCCAGATATTTATGAAGAATTTTACGCCAAATTCATTTAATGTATGGCGATTCTCCGTCAGTAATATTAGCTGTTTTACATACTAAAAACAACAATACATTTTATTCGCTATCCTAGGTTATACTGGATCTAAACCTAACCAGCTACAATATGTTAGGTTTTTGTCTTCGGTGTTTTTTCTTGACCCGTTATACCTCCCTACAATCTAAACCCCCAATCTTACCCCTCACCCCCCCCCCCCCCCCCCGCACGTTGCCGCTCCCGGACCCCTTTACTAAATGTGTAGATGAGGCATTTAATTAACGTTTCTCGAATTCTCGCCTTAATGTATCCAATCCTCGAGGTCTACTCACGTTACGGGTTTCACTTTAAATAGCTAGACGCGTGCCCCCCCCCCCCCCCATCACCTCCCTCATCTCCGTTGAGGTGGGGGCGGTAGGAGAATATATAAGTACGAGAAACTCTAGCAGAGACCAGGGGGTGGGGGGGGGGGTGCCGGGTGAAGCCTAATCTTGCCCACAATCGTGTAACGGTCGGTCATCCCTCCACGGTCGGTCATCCCTCCCCGACTTTGTTCTAAACTTATCCGTCAGTTCCGAGGCTGTTTAATTGGACTCGTTGCTTTATGTTTTAATGACTGCTCTCCCCTCCCCCCTCCCCCCACCTCACTAGGGTGCCAGGCGTTGTTGTTGAGACATTCCGAGGGCTGGAGAGAGAACCGTGTCATTCCGGGATGCCGTTAATAATTAATCGCTAGCTTCCGCGGTACGGAGGAAGTGTTTCAATTTTTATCGCATTCGGACAAAAAAATATTTGCCGGGAGTGCTTTGCTTGCAGAAAGCTTTTTCCTCCTCGTTATTTGAAAGGAAAAAGGCAACCGAATTAGAAAATGATGATGCGTTTATCGAGGCTCCGGCGAGGGTTATTTTAAGATAAGGGGGGAAAGTGTGTGATAAAGATGGTTGTTTTACTAACATTGTAAAATAAACGTATGCATCTTAGTTAGATGTGCAATATTGTTTTCGTCTCGAAATAACTCGCAATAAAAAAATAAATGCAACGTTTAGCTAGGCAAAAGGGAGTACGTTCTGTAGAACACTGTAGAACATTACGCTGAACATTCTAGAACGTATTTAAGATATAACGAGTCAAATGTACATGTGACCCCTGCACGTGATCCAAGGGAAATTAAAGTCAATATTTACATTTGGCTTGTAAACATTGCGAGATAGTAGTCACGTGACGAGAGTGGCTGTATACGTGAATGTTGTGTTAGCGGTTGGGAAACTTAATAAAATCATAACTGGGGAGTTGGGGGGGGGGGGGGGTGAGGACTAAATATAGCCTGAAGAATTGTCCAGCTTGATCTGTCCATTGTGATATAGCTGTCCAGTATGAGCCAACTGTCCATTGTGATCTAACTGTCCAGCATGATCTGTCCATTGTGATATAACTGTCCAGTGTGACTTAACTGTCCTATATGAGCCAACTGTGAAATGCTAGATAACCTACCATCGAATGCGGCATCGGTACTCTGGGCACATCACCGATCCACGTTGGTCAGTTGACCAAATCGCAAAGGACAGTTACAGTGGATATTCATCAAAAAACTTTTTTTAAAAAGAATTCCGGTCGAATAAAGTACAAAAGTTTCCCCATGAGGAACGGCGTGGTCGGATGGTAGAGCGTATAACTGCTAACCCGAACGTTAGCCCGTCGGATGGGTCCGCTAGGGAAACTAAGGTGGCTGGGCTAGGTCCGACCACACGATTCCACGTACGCCGAGTTAGTTGAAACAGATGAACTCTACTTCATCTGCCTCATGTGTCTTGAGCACGAACGGGAAAAGATGATGATGATGATGATGATGATGAGTTTCCCTGTGTGAGTCCACCAGTGCCAGTACAACCAGTTGTCCGGCTGGGCTAATCACGTGGTCTGAGTGGAGCAGTGTAGTGCACGCTGCTCGCGATGGTCAGTGTGAAGGTTGGTGTTGAAATACTGACCATACTGGACTGGCACTAAGCATTTCGCGCTATCCGTCCTGAATTTTAATATAAGCGTTGGCATATGCATATGTTGGAGTGGGGGGTGGGGTGGGGGATGGCGTCTTTAGAATTTTAGACAGGTTTGGGTGGGGCATAGCACGTACAAGGTCTGCAAGCACTGATCTACAACTAGAAGGTCAAACGATGAGTCAAGTCCATAAAGACTGACCAATCGAATATTTACTCATCTTATACATAAATGTTACGATGATTCATCTCTGGGAGGGGGGGGGGTTGTCAGGTGGATCTAATTACCCGGGGTCATATTTTGCCACCATGATTCAATCCGGTGAAGAAAAACAGCTTATAGTTAAAGTTTTGATTCGGAATTAGTTGGGTATTGAAATATGTTTAATCATGATTAGGCCAGGGCTTGGCTTAAGGAAGATTTACTTGAAAAGAGTTGTTGTATGTGTGCCACAGACGTTCTATAGGCCTACATGTATGACACAGTATCAAAACATAAAGCTATAGCTTTATTTAACTAACAAAATTAGTTTTACTAAATGAAGCTATAATTAAACTATAACTTTATACATCCAACAAAATCAACCTTACTAACTGGAGCTATTACTAAGCTATAACTTTTAAAAAATCCAACCAAATTAACGTTAAAGCTGTACTTCACACCTCGAACCAAACTTCTAAAATTACTAAGCTATAACTTTATACACCCAACCAAATAAACGTTACCAAATGAAGCTATAACTTTATACACCCAACCAAATAAACGTTACCAAATGAAGCTATAACTTTATACACCCAACCAAATAAACGTTACCAAATGAAGCTATAACTTTATACACCCAACCAAATAAACGTTACCAAATGAAGCTATAACTTTATACACCCAACCAAATAAACATTACCAAATGAAGCTATAACTTTATACACCCAACCAAATAAACGTTACCAAATGAAGCTATAACTTTATACACCCAACCAAATAAACGTTACCAAATGAAGCTATAACTTTATACACCCAACCAAATAAACATTACCAAATGAAGCTATAACTTTATACACCCAACCAAATAAGCCTTACCAAATGAAGCTATAACTTTATACACCCAACCAAATAAACATTACCAAATGAAGCTATAACTTTATACACCCAACCAAATAAGCCTTACCAAATGAAGCTATAACTGTATACACCCAACCAAATAAACATTACCAAATGAAGCTATAACTTTATACACCCAACCAAATAAACATTACCAAATAAAGCTGTAACTTTATGCACCCAACCAAATAAACGTTACTAAACGAAGCAACATCCTCCATGTGTTGGTAGATGCACGTGGCGAGTGACGGGCTGATTTGTTTGTCCACCGCCAGCGGGAGGGCCCAATTGATTAGCGCGAAAATATACGATCTAGCTGGGTATTACATCATGTCACCAAGCCCGGACCCCCGGGGGGTGTCGCATCGACTTATTTACTTCAGAAAACATCGGGGCTAGAGATTACTAGGCTTGCTCGTGGAGGGAGATGAACTCCCCGGCCGGGGGATGTTACACGAGGGGGAGGCGAGGGTGGAAAGAGAAAGGTCACTCATCTAGTACTCCATAAATTGGGTCAAATATATGATTAGATTATCCAGTGGATTATAATCTGCTTGTTGTGCACTTTGTAGCGTCCATACAATATTAGCGTTTTAAAAACGAGCTAAAAATCGATGCCGGATAAACATATGCGTGCTTCAGTACATCAATGAGGGAGATAACTCGGTAAATAATTGCCACCAAAAACAGTGTTATAAATCTTTTATTATCTCCCTTCTCACATTTTAAGCAACCATACGCACGGTCTGCACCGCGAACATAACGGCAAATGGTGAAGGAAATGTCGAGGGCTTTGGTGCTGGATTTATAGCCTGTCGTTTGTCCTTTGGTATAATTATGCATTGTGCTTGTCTCGCCCGTGGACGGATAGAATGCTAGCACGCCGAGGCGGAGGCGAGTGTATAAATTTGACATTATTCCTGATGCGAGTCCTTGTTTATTTTTTTAAATTTTTTTAAACAGAATTTTCATTGATATAAAACCCGCAGCATGTTATAGCTCACAACAAAGCTCGTCTATTATTATATCTTAGTCGATCTTTTTTTTTTTTTTACAAATACAGGAAACCGCAAATAGTTAAATACATAAACAATCTTTATAGTTGTATTCTGTAAAGATGATTTTATCTTTATGTCCTGTATTATGTTACCCCCCTGATGTTTGCCGGTAGTTGGGTGCTCAATACGATACTGTTGTTGACGTAAGTAAACATCAAAGCAGGTGTAACAGTTTCTACCTGTTAAATGCTTCCCGGATGTTGAACGTCATGGGAAACATAATTAAATCAGATTTAATCTAAATAATTGGATGAAGATTTGGTTTTATACGTTTACTTTAATGTTGTAAAGTTATTGTACATCCGTGACTTTAATAGCCCCCATACCAGTTGTGTGTGTAAACCATATGTCTATTCTCATATCCCTTGTTTGTTGTTTTACAGAATGTCCGCCCTCCATCAGGCTGCGCTTATGTCCAGTGCCCCAATGTTACGGACATTGCTGGACAATGGAGCCTCACCTGGACTTAGGGATAACAAAGGTCAGTATTGTTTAACCGTGTGTGTATGTGTGTGTATAGCCTCTCTTCCACTTCCTTATTAGATCTTTCCCGTCGTTAATTAACACTGGACCTAATTAGTGAATACTACGGCACGGCTAATTGCCAAGAGGCTAAGGGATTTAAAAAAACACACCAAAAATGAAAATATCCATTGTCAATTAGAGATACAACCTAGGTCCAGAAGACTCCATTAGGCATTAGCTCAGTCTGTATGAGATCCCGACCTAGACCACATCGTTTGAATAATGAAGGCGATTTTGGTCGAAAGTTTGGCATCTGACTGCTACTAAAGCATCTTAAGATTATTAAGATGGGGTTACGTGTGGCCTTACTGGACCAATTTTTTTAGTTATCTTTAACGGTAAAAAGTCATTAATGACCCGCCCTTGCGAACCAATTTTTACTACTGCTTCAGAGTTTTTACCCATCAAGACGAGGCACTCGTAGTTCAACGCCTCTCGCTCTGCGACTCGGTTTCTGCAGCACCCGAGTGACTTAATCGTTTCTATTGTTGTATTACAATATAAATGTCACACACGATTTCGCATAAGTACCTACACCACCCCCTCCCCACCCCAACCGTAGAATGGCGCCTCGCACTACACGGGAAGTGTCACCCCCTTCTCACACGAGGAGCGTCGTTATTTGAGGCTTACTAGACTAACAAATATACTTTTATCTACCCACTCTATTTCTGTGAAAATTTCCGCCTCCGGAAAAAAACCCCGGTGCAAGCCCCATCTAAAGTGACACGCCATTGACACAAATAAAACCGCCTATTTGTTCAATAAGTTCCCATATTGTATGCCAGTCAAAAGGACGCCCCCGTAGTTACAGTGGGGGAGTTGGCCTAGAATGTACCTGGTTCCGCCGTACCTGGTTCAGGTAGGATAGTCCGTTTGTCTTCTAAAGTCGTGCTTCATATCCATTCACGCGACGAATTTTTCGTTTGTTCGCGTTGTGTTCGTTACACATACCCCCCCCCCCCCCCCTCCCCAGCTTCCCAGTTTTGTATGACGTCATTGCACGCTCCTATAGTTAAAAACAAACCTTATTTTAACATTAAAAAAAAAGAAGTTATCAACGCAACATCTTGTTTTATTTTAAACAAGAAACAAAACCACTAGACGGTGTCGTGATGTTATCATCACGATGTGTGTTACAGGTTCTCCAACACGTCACTACTGATGTTCTGTGAGTCTAAAAATATTATGTGACGGTTCCCTCCTCCCCCCTCCACTCAATGATAAAACAACTTGAAATAACAGTGAGATATTTGAAACAGTTTCCAATTTTAGATTCCTCCGCTGCATCGAGATACCCGAGAAAATGGGAGATGGGAATTATTTTGAAACTTTGGTGTAGGGGGAGGGGGGGGGGGGCGTCGTTTCCTGTTTGTTGAGTCCAACTCGGCAGTTAACGATAGGCAGATAATGAGATATCGTCTGATGTTTAGTGCACGTCTGCCTACACCTACCTGTTTTTCTGGGTTACATAATATTAAATTTGTTAGTGTTTACTCGACAGTGTTATGCCAATTTTGATCTCGTCGGATGCAAAGCATTCAACTAACAGTCTCGAATAAACTATATAAGATTAGTTACTTCCGTTTTAGCTTCAGAAATTTCCTTTTTTAAATATCTTACTTTTTAATAACTTCATATAAGACCACATTTAAAACATAATCAGTTTAGCTCCAAGCTGTAATGTAAATTTATAGTTAGTAAGAATTCGAAATAAACTTTTGAAGGAAGTTCTTCAGTTAAGCTGCATAAGAGTAACTTCCAAAATTGTGACCGATAATTTGGAGGCGGTAGCGAGGGTCGCCCCAAGTTGAGTTAAATCAAAACTAATTGTTTCGCGTCTTCGTAAAAACACACTCATAAATCTGGCCATTTTTTGCTATTGTGTCTGGCTACTGGAATTGATCGTTAAAACCCGGCGCCGGTTCTGCTGACCGGTTTCCGTGATACGGAATGTCTTTATGAAACTGATCTACGGGACACATATTCATAGGATGCTAAGCCTGATAGCTGGAATCCTGGGATATAATACCTAATTATCTCTGGTATGTTAACACTGTGGTCAGAATTCTTTTCTCCGGACGATGACCCGTGGGCGGTATATCACTTCAAGTAACAAATAAGAAAAAAAAAGGCACCAAAAGAAAGTCATAATAAGAACAAAAAATGATTACTACCTTAACAAGAAGAAAAATAAAAATAAAAACAAAAAGTGACCACTGAACTGACCCATCCTCCCACGTTATGGCAGCTATAACGTCCTTATTAATCTACATAAAAACTGTTTTTATTTATTAAGTGGACAATAAATCGTTGCTCGCGCTGATCGATCAACCAATTCAATCCAACACAAGGAAATACGTAGCGCCATTGTGGCGTGTACATAGCATGATTCATAGGACGAGGAACGCTCGAGTGTCTTTCAGCCGTGAGAGAGTTCTATCTTTTTTTTTGTTTATCCCACGGTTTTCTCTTCCTGCTTTTCTATATTCTGCCGATGGTTTGTTTCATCTGTTGACATCAACACCTTAATTTGATTTATACAAAATATTTGAATTTAAAAAAAAAAATGAGCGTAGCGAGAACAATGTTTTTGTTTTCAAAGAAATAAATCCCAACCTAAACCAATAAGAAATATAAAAGTGCAAATCAGATATTGCTTTTCACTTTTTGAACTCTCTTTGTTATTTGATTAATGTAACTGGAGCTGCAATTAACAAATAAATAACATATTCCCATTGTTGAGTAAACGTAGATTCTATTCTTTTAAAAACATACAGGAAATGGAAGTTACCTTGTCAGCTCGTTGGAGCTATATCGTTTTTCATAACAAATTTAAATTGAAAAAAAAAACAATAATTCTCATAATAAATTTATAAAAATGAATACGTACTTACGAGTTGGTGTAAAAAGTTGTATTATTTTATTTTAAAATCCCGTTTAAAGTTACATAATAGCATGTTCTTGTAATACTACTCCTTTTATTTAGAGATCTAAAATTTTACAAAGTTAGTTTTCGACACTAGTATTAGTATTCCCGATATGTGTGTTAGCGTGTATGCGAGATTTTATCCCCAGCAATGGCATTTGATAACATATTTCCCCTGTATCTCAACCCAAACACAGGTATGATAGCGCTACACTATGCCACCTGGCAAGGCGTCCCCCAGTCTGTCCAGATTTTACTACAGAAAGGTTCCCCGGTCAACGAGCAGGCCCTCAACGGCGAGACGCCCCTGCACCTGGCCTCACAACATGGACATTTTGAAGTTGTAAGTACATCCGCAGTAAAATAGTTCCTTTCAGAAATAGACATTTTACACCAGCATGAGACTATCATCACTACATACATTTACAAAAAAAAGGAAAATAAAAGAGAGAGAGAGAGAAATAGATATTACACCTATCATCACTGCAGACATTTTTAAAAAAAGAAAAAAAAAGAGAGAGAGAGAAAAATAGACATTTACATGATCTGTCATTATTACTGGCATTTACAAAAAATAAAAAAATAAAAAAATGGACGTTTACATAGACATGAGACTCTTACAGACATGGAAAAAAAGGAGAAGAAGACTTTAATGTTGACACTGAAATACTTATAAGCATCTTTACATAAACTGACACATTAAAGAATACATTGACATTTAAATTAAAGAAAAAATTCACATTGACATTAAAGCGTACGTGGACATTCACATCAAAGCATAAATTGACATTCACACTAAAGCATACATTAACCTTTACATCAAAGCATAAATTAACATTCACATTAAAACATACATAGCATTTTTACATGAAAGCATAAATTGACATGTACATCGGTATGGAAATTTACAACACCACGGAAAGAGTCATTTACCCCAAAACAGACACGCTCGTATATATTTAACACGTATCGGACTATGGCGCGGTCAGTTAATGGTCAAATATGTATGACCACTCCATCACTATCACGTGTAAATGAGAACTGCTAGAAAAACGCCCTCGCCGATACAAGTGTTCTGAGATCGAACTCATGTCCCTACGGTCAGTTCGGCGAAGTTAAGCTGGACATTGTATTGGCAATACCTGCCTTGAACTCACACAAATTTTTGCTTATAATACTTGGATTCATTAAGCCGCCATATTAAAAGGGAGAACATTGCTGACTCACTTCGTGTGTATGCGTGATAACTTTTTTTTTGTGTTGGTCAGTGTGAGCACGCGATCGGGCATGAACTGACCTCTGAGACACGTGACTGTTAGAGCCTCGTCTTAATCCCCAGGCGACCCTGCTGCTGAACCAGCACGCTGACCCCACCATCTGCAACAAGGAGCTCAAGACAGCCCTCGACTTGGCCTGTGAGTTTGGGAAAACACGAGTAAGTACCATTTCAAAGATGCGGCTGGTTGCTGTTTTTTTTAGTTTATTTTACTATATAAACCTTAAGGATTGGTTAGAATCGCATGCTTATTGAGCGAGGGTGATATTTCTGAGCGAATTGTGAGTTTTGTGTACACCTTCCTAATTGACAGCTAGACAATGGGGAAAACGTAGTGTTTAATACATTTCATGAATAATCTGTAGACTCTATAGCACGGGTTCCCAACCTGGGGGTCGCGACCCCCCTGGGGGTCGCGAAGGTCTTTCTCGGGGGTCGCCAACTGGTATACTAAACCTTAGTAATTTGAAACAAAACATAAATATTTAGAAGAATTTTTGAAATTCGGCTTCATTAACATCACTGGAATTGTAATAGAGAAGAAACAAAGCGCACTGTACAATGTTGTTCTCAGTCACGAATCTATGAAATCTTCAAAACTAAAACGTCATTTGAGACGAGTCATTCGGAATACACCAAAAAATATATGGAGTTCTTTCGTCGATAAGAAGCTAGTTGCAAACGCCAGAGACTTGATCGAACAGGAAGTTTTCACCAGCATTAGTGCAAGCATCAAATGAAGTCGCGATAGAAAATGCCAATCAAAAAAAAAAAAAAAACAATAGGAGAAAATCTCATCAAACGCTGCATGTACGTAAATGTTAAATAACACATTTTTATTGAAATTAAGCTTTCACCATTGTTTGCTTTTCAAGATGATAAATCAACAGACGTGAATTCGTGTTCGCAGTTGCTGGTCTGTGTCTATATTCATGCGGATGATAGCATAGATAAAAGAGTTGCTCTTTTGTGAAGATAGCATGGAGAAAAGAAATATCTTTTTTGAAACTGGATGATTAAATTGGGTTAGAACGGCTGTGGGGGTTTGTACGGATGGTGCGCCATCATGTTTAGCTCAAATTTCAGAAAACAGACAAGATTTAGCTCCCTAACCGCTGCCTTAACCAATCGACATCAAGAGTCCATTGCTAGTATAAGTCGTAAATTATATAAAACGAGCCGGCCCGCGGCATAACATACGCCGCTATTTAGTTGTTTCTAATTTTCAATAATTCATAATTTGTGAATTCGACAGTACCAACGCTGACACTGAAAATATTTCTTTAAAACACTATAAGTAGCTCGTTAAGGACCATAACCCCCCCCTTCCTTCCCCCCCCCTCGCCCCCCCCCCCCCTACGTTTAAAATCGTTGGCTCTGCTTGTAAACATTTAGAGTGAACACAGCTCACTAAAACCATGTAGGGGTGGGGAGGTAGGGAGAGCGTTTGCAGCTTGTTTTCTAACGGCTCGAAGAAGAGAATTATATATATAGATCTGGAGCCTTCAAAGAACTGAGCAAAAACATTAATATAGATCACGAGGTTCTGCTCTTCTACACTACAGTACGCTGGCTGTCAAACGAAATGTTGTAAATTGTGTTTTCGAATTGAAATCTGAAATCAAATTGTTCTTGGGAGTGCAAAGGAAACAAGACTTTTTGGTATACTTAAAACGACATAGAGTGGTTAGAGAGAGTATCAAACCTAGCAGATATGTTCGAACATCAAGATAAGCTTAACCTGAAGCTTCAGGGAAAATGAACGAATATTATAACTTTCCATGATAATCTCGGGGCATTTTTATCAAAGCTGCAAAATCGGTAAAGAAAACAAATCTTAGAAATATTGTAAATTTGAGAAACTCTGCAGTGTGGTAGATGAATCTGATTGTGAGATAATTAAAATTTTGAAAGAAGAGATTTCTGGGCATCTTGAATCTCTTGAAAACGAACTGTATCGCTATTTCTCTGAGATGAAAAAAGAAGAATCTGCATTCACGCATTACCCATTCTCTTCTTCCCTTGATGTTGCCAGCATTCCCGATGAATTACAAGATGAATTCTTTGATTTGCAGAATGATTCCGAGTAAGATGAAAAACTGCAGACACAATTTTGGTGTAGTATTCACCATTCATACCCAAACGTAAAATTGATTGACTTTTCGAGAATATATTTTCAACACTATTCTTCGATTAAAAACAAAATTAAGATAATTATAATGACATAGGTTGGCGTTAACAATTTAAAAAAAATAATTAAAAACTTAACCACGAAAGTTTAGTGAATAGTATGCAATTTTACTCATGCTATTAAAACAGTTATCAAGAGTAGTTCATATTGAAAGTCTACTAGAAAATCTTATTTTAGTGTTTATTAATTTCCATACTAATTTCGGCTTTTTAATTCTATGTGGGTCGCGGGTCACTTAATTTTTATAAAAGGGGGTCGCCACTCGAAAAAGGTTGGGAACCACTGCTCTATAGTGATTTTTTGTATCTTGTGAAACATCTCACGCATAATACTTAACTTGTATATTTTGTTAACAGTCAATTAGCTAAGACACGAAGAGCTTTAGCGCGAGAGACGCGAGGGTTGTACCCTCATCACGTGACCAAGTCGCGATTCTTTATTTATTTATTTACAGTGAGCTCGCAGACAGCTGTTTTGTGTGTGTTTGTTTTTCTTTTGTGAGAGTGTGCGGGTTAGGTTTTGTTGGGGACATTGTGCTTTCGGCAACTCCCACAACTTTCACCTTCTGCCGTATGTAATTATTTTTAGATGGTTTACCACCCATGGTGAAATGATTGATTAAACCATCCCGACTAATTCTTAGTCACGTACATAAGTATGGGTGAAACTTTATGAAATCATTTTGGGTTTGGTGCCTAGCAATAGAAGGGGGTTGAGTTTAAAAATGGTCTAAAAATTTTAATTTATTTTTAAGGGGACCACTTATCCAAGTTTTAGGAAACAGTATATTAAGTGTGTGCTCTTTATTTTAAAAAAATAGAAGGAAAATACTTATATTAACCCCTCCCCCCCCCCCCTCTCTCTCTCTCTGCGCTCGTCTATTAATGTTTCACATCTTTGTTCTTTAAAAAAGTCAGTGGTTCACGGCTATTTTAAGAATTGGCCCTCGAGTACATGCTCGTGTACTGACTACATGCTCCCATTAATAACACGCCCCCGCTTTGATGTGCGGACCAACTTTTCAAATCAATCACCTTCAGAGTTTATTATGTACCTGGCAGGTAGCTCGGACTATCCCAGCCTTCACTTCCCGAGATTGATGGCGACTAACGAATTAATTAATTAGACCACAACAAATACATTCCTGCATAATTAGCGGTGTCCGATAAGACAAGGACCATGTTCTGTCCGTTTTTTTAAACTCCCAACTACAATGGTAAATGACAGGGATGGAATATTTCACCTGGAATCCAATGCCCACCTGTCTTTTATTCGACCTGTTCCGCCTTATTTAAAAAAAAAAAACTGCTGTTTTGATTATATTCAAAGTGAGCATACCAGCGAAGATTTATTCTTTGGCAATTTCAGTACAGATTAGCGCATGTCACACTTTGACGTAGCACTCTTTTCAAGTTATAATCATTGCGTATTTGTAAGCATTGGGTTCATTTTGCTGCTGTTCATACATTTTAAATCCCAAATGAAGATCCGGTGTGATGAAAGAGCATGCGCATTACATATAATGCGATGAACATGCGCAGTATCTATTCTGTTTTTTCCCACGTTTTCTTTAACTTGCTTTCGCGTCTGTTTGTTTGTCTTTCCATCAAATCTTGCGATCGAAATTTCGGGCACTTCCCAGTTAGCTAGCGCGCTGAAATTTTCAGGGAAGCTTTGTTTCCGATGACAATACAATATTAAATTATTATTATTACTAAATTGATCCATGGAAATTGATCATTATTGATCATTTTAGACTCCTATTGATTTGTACAAAAAAGGGACATAACCTAGTAATTTTAATTTGATAAAAACAAGGTTCGATACTTTCCCTCTTCTGAAATCTACTTTTTAGTTCAATCAGAAAACGTGGGTTTTTAAAAAAAATTTAATGATAATTAATAAGCAGCTAAACTACGTATCTTTCCCAAACCACTTATTACACTACCATATTTGTGTGTGGGTAAATTTTTGTTCTGTTTTTTGTTCTTAAGTCTTGAAACAAATAAACCCCTCGCGCTTCCCTCGTCCCACAACCGACTCTTGTTAAAGATGTTTCTGATAGATTCATCGTCTGGGTGTCTTGTCTTCATCAGGTGGTTGAGCTGCTGTTACGTAGCAATCTTTGCCAGAAACTTCTGGAAGATTCGCCCACGGATAATCTGGACAACAACCGGACGACCTGTTTACACCTGGCCGCTAGAGGCGGACATGTCGATATAATCAAGTAAGTCCTGGCGCCATTAGTCCCTACTTAATGAGCCAGCTAACGAATGAATTAAATACTCGACTTAATGTAAACAAAATATATGGAGTAATTTCGTTCAAAGTTTAAGTAAGACTTTACTCGCCGAACTTCGCAGTTGGACTTAAGAACTGACCCACCAACCAGAAATATACCTCGATGTTTGAACTCTAAGCCAACAACGACCTTGACATATCCTCATTCTGTTTATGAACGTAAAATAACAAGACAGATCTAGATTTAGTTAGAACCTCGAAGAAATTTGCCTCGAAAACGAACCGGCTTCTGAGTTTGTCGATTTGACATTTAACACATGTATTATTGTTATTATTTAAAGTTTGACCTATTAACCCTTTGATTGCCTGACATAAAGTTGACGTATTAACCTTTTTACTGTCCTACATTAAAGTTGACCTATTAACCCTTTGATTGTCCGACTTTAAAGTTGACCTATTAACCCTTTGATTGTCCGACTTTAAAGTTGACCTATTAACCCTTTGATTGTCCGACTTTAAAGTTGACCTATTAACCCTTTGATTGTCTTTGTGCAGGCTACTGTTGCAGGCTGGGATGAACATCAATAGGTCAACCCTGAAGGGCACGTGTCTGCACGAGGCAGCCCTCGCTGGGAGAACGGAAGCTGTGAGGCTACTACTGGATGTAAGTATGGGGGCTTTGGGTGCTCACTCCACAGTCAGTGGGTTGCTTGGGCTCACTGCGATATAGGGGCTGGGTTTAGGGCTTGGCGACCATAGTGGAGGGGGCTTGGCTTGGGGTTTAGTGTTCGTGAGTCCCTTCACAGTGTAGGGGGCTACTGTTTGAATGTTTCTGAGTCCCGCCACTGTGTTGAATATCGTCGTGGAGCATACTGGTAATGTACACCAAGATGGCGGCCAAGTCTTAATAAAATGTATTTTCCCAGATCTGCTACTCTCGACAAAATCAAGTCTTAGTACCACCCTACAGCATGGATTTTTCACTGCAACATTCTACGGTGCACCCTCTACCCATTCAGCCCATTACGCCCTCCCCAGGCGCCCCGGCCCTTCTTGTGCATCGGATAAAAAAAGGTTACACGTGTAACAACGTGAGACCACTTGTAAAGCAATCAACCTGTGTTAGTAGCTTCCTCCCAGTCGAGATGCTTTGTGTATATTACTCCCCCACCCCCCACCTACACTTAATATACGACACGTCCCACCCCTGGTGAATTCCCCGACCCCCAACTTCACCAATCCTAACATCTCGGTCGTTTGTTTTTGAAAACACCTTTTTATCTGACAACCGCTGGGTTGTTTTTTTTTCTTCCTCTCTAATCGAAATAGCGCCCTCGTATAGACTCGGGCGTGAGCAATAACCCAGCGCGTCTACTCGCTCACGTGTTTGTTTTATGCACTAGCCTTAGATACACCTACAATATAACCCGATACACGCGGTACACACAGTTGTAAATTGCCAACATCTGCTTAATGTTTAAAAAAAATATAACTCAGGTGGATATTGTCTGGTTGTGCTGTTGTATCGTCCATCCATCTCCACGCCCACAATTTTTTACCGACATGATAAATATAAAATAAAGCGTTAAATTTTTGTTCATGTGATATACGACGATCACATGTGGTTTTCATTATTTGCATCTTGGCCTCGAGGTTTAAGCCGGGCTGTAAAACCTCAACACATTTAACTGTCACGTGATTTCATATTAACCTTCCCTGTTCTATGTCCCGGCAATTAGCGGTGTGCATTATAGTGTTTTCTTTAATTAGCCTCCACAGGTGCATGGTTAATTTAATTAAAACATGGAGTTCTCTACCCCCCCCCCCTCGCGAGTTGGACTCACCCTCGCCACCATCCTCGGGAACAGTAGAAGTAACGTGAGAAGTACGACTCGGACATTCTTGACATTTGGACTCGTGTCCCGTGTTTACAAGTTTGTCGATCTCTGGCGTCCCGAGGGCTAAATGTCACAGCTTGTGTGTGTTGAAACAAGGGGGGGGGGGGGGGGTTGAGAAAAGTTGCTGCTCTCTGGAAGAGGTTGATTGTGACCTTGACAATTTTCATCCGCGAACACATCCTTTATGTAAAATACGTGGTTGCAGATTTTAGGTGGAGTTATAATTATTTTAATGTGATTCCCAACTTGTTTGTTGCCAACTGTTGGAAGTTGACGAAAATAAAACTTAAGCAATGCTTTGTTAGCTGTCAGGGTCAAAACACTGTTCCTCATTCACAATGCCTGGGCTACAGAAATTAGTCTTACAATGTGGGCTACAGAAGTCAGCCATACAGTGGGCTACAGAAGTCAGCCATACAGTGGGCTACAGAAGTCAGCCATACAGTGGGCTACAGAAGTTAGCCATATAGTGTGCTACAGAAGTCAGCCATACAGTATGGGCTACAGAATACAGCCATACAGTGGGCTACAGAAGTCAGCCATACAGTGGGCTACAGAAGTCAGCCATACAGTGGGCTACAGAAGTCAGCCATATAGTGGGCTACAGAAGTCAGCCATACAATGGGCTACAGAAGTTAGCCATATAGTGGGCTACAGAAGTTAGCCATATAGTGGGCTACAGAAGTCAGCCATACAGTGGGCTACAGAAGTCAGCCATACAGTGGGCTACAGAAGTTAGCCATATAGTGGGCTACAGAAGTCAGCCATACAGTGGGCTACAGAAGTCAGCCATATAGTGGGCTACAGAAGTTAGCCATATAGTGGGCTACAGAAGTCAGCCATACAGTGGGCTACAGAAGTCAGCCATACAGTGGGCTACAGAAGTTAGCCATATAGTGGGCTACAGAAGTCAGCCATATAGTGGGCTACAGAAGTCAGCCATACAGTGGGCTACAGAAGTCAGCCATATAGTGGGCTACAGAAGTTAGCTATATAGTGGGCTACAGAAGTCAGACATACAGTGGGCTACAGAAGTCAGCCATATAGTGGGCTACAGAAGTTAGCCATATAGTGGGCTACAGAAGTCAGCCATACAGTGGGCTACAGAAGTTAGCCATATAGTGGGCTACAGAAGTTAGCCATATAGTGGGCTACAGAAGTCAGCCATACAGTGGGCTACAGAAGTTAGCCATATAGTGGGCTACAGAAGTTAGCCATATAGTGGGCTACAGAAGTCAGCCATACAGTGGGCTACAGAAATCAGCCATACAGTGGGCTACAGAAGTCAGCCATACAGTGGGCTACAGAAGTCAGCCATACAGTGGGCTACAGAAGTTAGCCATATAGTGGGCTACAGAAGTCAGCCATATAGTGGGCTACAGAAGTTAGCCATATAGTGAGCTACAGAAGTCAGCCATATAGTGGGCTACAGATGTCAGCCATATAGTGGGCTACAGAAGTTAGCCATATAGTGGGCTACAGAAGTCAGCCATATAGTGGGCTACAGAAGTTAGCCATATAGTGAGCTACAGAAGTCAGCCATATAGTGGGCTACAGAAGTCAGCCATACAGTGGGCTACAGAAGTCAGCCATACAGTGGGCTACAGAAGTCAGCCATATAGTGGGCTACAGAAGTCAGCCATATAGCGTCACTTACACCTTTGCCCTGCGTGTTTTAACTGAACTGCCCACTTTAAATAAACATTTAAAATTTCTCCCAGTGGTCAGAGCGAGCCTAAAGTAAATCCACGTTTGGCGCTGTCCACTGTTTGTGTTTGTTAATACAACGAGCAACGGAGACGGACAAATGACCAGACTTAAAAATGTTTGAATTTTCTTAGCATAATCTCCCAAACTTCTTGAGCAACGAACGCATTTCCGGCAACATGACGTTTTTTTTTTAAACAGGAGACATTCTTCCCGTAACTGGACGTTGTCCTCACAACTGGACGTTCTTCTCATAACTGGACATTCTTCAAAAAACTGGACATTCTTCCCACAACTGGACATTCTTCTCATAACTGGAAATTCTTCAAAAAACTGGACATTCTTCCCACAACTGGACATTCTTCTCATAACTGGAAATTCTTCCCACAACTGGACATTCTTCTCATAACTGGAAATTCTTAAAAAAACTGGACATTCTTCCCACAACTGGACATTCTTCTCATAACTGGACATTTTTCCCACAACTGGACATTCTTCTCATAACTGGACATTCTTCCCACAACTGGACATTCTTCTCATAACTGGACATTCTTCCCACAACTGGACATTGCCCTAGGAACTGGACATTCTTCTCATAACTGGACATTCTTCAAACAACTGGACATTGCCCCAGCAACTCGACATATCCCCCACAACTGGACATTGCCCCCACAATTGGGCATTCTTCCCACTGCTGGACACCATCACCACAACTGGACATTACACCTTCAACCGGGCACTATCCCACATGTGTTTATTATTCTCACATTTGAATCCCATTACCACATCTAGACACTGTTCACACAACTGAACACTATTCAAGCTTTGGGAAGGAAATAAATCCAATCGTGCTATTTCGAATGGGTCAAAATCAAGTCAGATTTAACTGCAAACCCATCAACAGACAAACGTGACCTAAGTAAAATGTATTCTAACCCCCCCCCCCCCCCCCCGCTCCCACACACACACTTATACCATAAGCAAGGATAGGACAAATTTTCCCCACTTTCCACTTTTCCCACTGCGAGCCAGGAAACTCCACAACTTTCTCATATTTAACATCGCAGTATATTTTAGTTCCCTGTAGATCCCTTCAATTGTGTAAATGAGGTTCTCACGGCAAATTACAGGATGCTGCTGATTGCTATTTTTACATTAAAATCACGTGATACCCAACGACCACTTTCACCCACATATGCACCTAAGTGTATCTAAAATCCAACGAATCAATCAAGGTCACAATGCATGTGTATTCGTTAAACTGATTTCACACATACCATATTTCTTTCTCTCCACACATACCATATTTCTTTCCACACATACTCACACGCACACACACACACACGTTAAAACCCCCCTCGTTGCCGACAGACGATTGAGGCGACACCGAGGGTCCTATATACTGTTGTGCATGTCCGGTCTTGAAGACGGTTCTTCTGAACTTTTTGCACATCTCTACTGTGATTTTACAAGTCTTCCTTGTTCCCTATGGCCTACTCATTTCTTCTCTCTCTCCTCTCTCTCTCGCGCTCTCTCTCTCTATGTGAGTGTACAATGGGGGGGGGGGGGGGGGTCCTAGTAGAGAAGTGAGCCAAGTGGTCTATACGCCACTAAACTGGGTTTCACTTTTTAATTTCGTCGCAGTGGCGTATCTAGGGTATCCCTCTTTCTCGTGGTTTACTTTTTTGAAAAAAGGGAATTCAGTGCTACAAATGGTTGTGGGTGGTGTCCAAATCAATTATCGATCTAGGGCGCCATAATTTTATTCAGATACATTTAACAGGGAAAAAAGAATTGTTGCCAAAAATTTATACTTTGACTAGCAACACAAAAATCGATAGTGTCCAACAAGCAGTGTATGTGTGTGAGGAGGAGGGGGGGTGGGTCACATCAATGCACCATTGTTTTGTCTCATGATCAATTCAATGACGACTATTTACACGATAAAATGGCTTTTAATGTCTCTGTTTGCGCGTGTTTCTCTCCTCCCCCACCCACCCCCCTCCAACCAAAACTGCCCCGTTTCTGTTCCCCACACACCTTATCAGCAATCACGTGA